CCTCCGTCTCAGCCAGCTCCTCGTCTCACCTCGGCCGGCTCCTCCGTCTGCTCCTGAGCCTCCGCAACAGCCTTTGAGAGCCTCCTTTCAAAGATGCGTTGGAGCTCCCGCGCCGACTCAGCTTCCTCGGATTTGGCATCATCGAGGTTGAGCCACTGGAGCCTGGCCAAGGCAGAGATCTCAAGGCGCTTGCGCCGACGGAGAAGGCCGTCACAGAAAGCGATGACCTCTGCGGCGGTCTCCACCGGATCTCGGATCTTGCGCAGCGCGCGGTGCAGAAGCCCCTCCAGCTCAGTCATGGGCCGCTGGCGAGTAGCGTCCGGATCACTGACGACCACCAAGCTCTTGATGCTCTGCATCTCACCGAAGGCCTCTCCAGCGCGGGGGTCCGTGCGCTTGTCCGGGTGCACCAAGAGCATCATCATCTTGAAGCAGCGCGACGCAGAGCCGGGGAAGATCCTGAAGCCGCACCTCTCGCCAAGTTGATGCACTGGGCTCAGCACGAGCTGCACCGCCAGGGACCGCGCGGCATCCATGGTCATGGTAGGTGTCGAAAGCTAAGTTCCTTCTGAGAAAATGCTTCAAAAGATAAAGATGCCCCAGCAAGTACCCGAATGCTTGGCAATGACTGGCAACCAGGCCCCGGACATTCGGAAGCTACACCACAGCAGCCGAAGTCGAAGGCGGCAACTCCGCCCGGTCCTGGAGATGCTTGTCAAATGGCCTAGTTCTGTGCCCCCTGAGGCGGTTTTTATTTATAAAGAAATCTAAATGCTTCGATCCCTCGTGCTTCGATCCCTGACATCCCGTGCTTTCTGTGCCCCCCTGAGGCGGTTTTTTATTTATATAAAAATCTAAATGCTTCCATCCCTGGCATCCCGTGCTTTCTGTGCCCCCCCCTGAGGCGGTTTTTTATTTATATAAAAATCTAAATGCTTCGATCCCTGGCAGGTTGTCTCCCGTGCTTTCCGTGCCGCTTCCATCCCTGGCAGGCTGTCTCCCGTGCTTTCCGTGCCTCCCTGAGGCGGTTTTTTATTTATATAAAAATCTAAATGCTTCCATCCCTGGCATCCCGTGCTTTCCGTGCCGCCCCTGAGGCGGTTTTTTATTTATATAAAAATCTAAATGCTTCGATCCCTGGCATCCGCTTTCTGTGCCCCTTGAGGCGGTTTTATTTTTCTAAAAAGCTAAATGCTTCAATCCCTCTGCAGGCAGTCTGACAAGGAATGCGAGCGTTTAGGTTTTATATAAAATAAAAACTATTTTTTTTAACGAAACACTTCCTCGCGGCTTGTCAAATGGCCTAGCTGTGTGCCCCTTGAGGCGGTTTTATTTTTCTAAAAAACTAAATGCTTCAATCCCTCTGCAGGCAGTTTGACAAGGAATGCGCGCGTTTAGCTTTTTATATAAAATAAAAACGTATTTTTTTTAAAAAATGAAACACTTCCTCGCGACTTGTCAAATGGCCTAGCTCTGTGCCCCTTGAGGCGGTTTTGTTCATATAAAAATCTAAATGCTTCAATCCCTGGAACCCTGGTAAATGGAAATATGGACTAAAACCTGTGGTCTTCTATTGGTTTAATTTTGACCCATACCCACCTGTCGCATGTACCACGGATACCAGTGTTTGTTTGCCGCGTGGTAGAGCATCGAGATGCGACATGGACAACTCGAGCCAAAAAAATACAACTCGAGCCACGTGCACGTGTGCGGGAGAACGAATTAAGCAGGCTCGCTCCAGATTCGGACTCGCCGCGGGGCTTGCAGCACTATCTCTTGAAACCAAAAAACAGAGCAAGGCAACGCGAGTCCATGCAATTAAGTGCTTACGGATAGGTCCCTGCGCAAGGTGTCTGGGGACCTATCGATTCGAGCAGTGTGAAACTCTTGGCCTGCAGGCAGTCTGACAAGGAATGCATGTGTTTAGTTTTTATATAAAATAAAACTTTATTCTTTTTTAAAAAGAAGAAAAGAATACTTCCTCGCGGCTTGTCAAATGGCCTAGCTCTGTGCCCCTTGAGGCGGTTTTGTTCATATAAACATCTAAATGCTTCAATCCCTCTGCAGGCAGTCTGACAAGGAATGCATGCGTTTAGTTAGTTTTATATAAAATATAAAATTTATTTTTTTAAAAAAGAAAAGAATACTTCCTCGCGGCTTGTCAATTGGCCTGGGTCTGGCGCTGGGGGGAGGTTTTTTGGGCAGTGCCGAGTGGGCACGTAGGATTAATACTGCTTCGCCCAACGACCTGGAAATCTAAATGCCTGTGTGCCAAGTCGAAGGCGTCTGAGCGGCAGCGGCTCGATTTATTTATATAAAAATCTAAATGCCTGTGGAAAACCGCCTCAAGGGGGCACAGAAAGCACGGGGACAACCTGCCAGGGATCGAAGCATTTATATTTTTATATAAATAAAAAGCCGCCTCAAGGGGGCACAGAAAGCACGGGGACAACCTGCCAGGGATCGAAGCATTTAGATTTTATATAAATAAAAAACCGCCTCAGGGGGCACAGAAAGCACGGGGACAACCTGCCAGGGATCGAAGCATTTAGATTTTTATATAAATAAAAAAACCGCCTCAGGGGGCACAGAAAGCACGGGAGACAACCTGCCAGGGATGGAAGCATTTAGATTTTTATATAAATAAAAAACCGCCTCAGGGGGGCACAGAAAGCACGGGAGACAACCTGCCAGGGATGGAAGCATCTAGATTTTTATATAAATACAAAACCGCCTCAGGGGGGCACAGAAAGCACGGGATGCCAGGGATCGAAGCACGGGATGTCAGGGATCGAAGCATTTAGATTTCTATATAAATAAAACCGCCTCAGGGGGGGCACAGAGCTAGGCCAGTTGGGCGAGCCAGTATCAAACGAGGTTGGGCAAACCCGTACTAAGGGTCGTTGGGCGAACCCGTACTAACGGTCGTTGGGCGAACCAGTACTATGGGTGGTTGGGCGAAACAGTACTATGGGTCGTTGGGCGAACCAGTACTATGGGTCGTTGGGCGCTCGTCCAGCGCTCGTCTAGTACTCTTCTATCCCCGGAAATTTTCCCAAAAACCCCGACACTTTTGCCACATGCCCGGGGATTTTCGAAAATTCCGGGAATTTTTCAAAATCCCCGACCCCTTTGCCACATGCCCGGGAATTTTTCAAAATCCCCGACACCTTTGCCACGCGCCCGGAACTTTTAGGAAATTTCCGGGGCCAGTACTAAGGGCCGTTGGGCAAGTCAGTACTAAGGGCCCGTTGGGCGAACCAGTACTAAGGCGAACCAGTACTATGAGTCGTTGGGCGAACTCGTGCTAAGGGCCGTTGGGCGAACCAGTACTATGGGCCGTTGGGCGAACCAGTACTATGGGTCGTTGGGTGAACTCGTACTAAGCGCCCGTTGGGCCGTTGGCCGAACCCGTACTATCCTACGTGCCCGCTCGGCGCCGTGCCCGCTCGGCACTCCTACCCCTAAAGTGCCCGCTCGGCACTGTGCCCGCTCGGCACCCCCTAACCTAAAGTGCCCGCTCGGCACTGCCTACTCCTAATCTAGAGTGCCCGCTCGGCACGTTTACCTAAGTGCCCGCTCGGCACTGTGCCCGCTCGGCGCTGCTAAGTGCCCGCTCGGCACTGCTAAGTGCCCGCTCGGCACTGGAAAAAAAAGCAAAACAAAAAAAGGCCGCGGGCCCGAGCGCTTTTTCCAGGTCGAGGCCGAGGTCGAAGGTCGCGCCGGGCTCACACTCCTGCGAGGGATCGATCGGAAAAAAAAGGGGGAAAACGACGGCGAGGGGGTCCTCCGCCACGAGCCCGCTTCGGAGGCGGCGCCGACGCGGAGCCCTGGCACGAAAGCGAAGCCGATCGATTTCAACGGTCGACGGATGAGCCTTGAGCTGCTCCAGCTCCCGTCGGAGCGCGACGGCATCCGCCTGGCGGGGCGCAACGGGAGGGCAGGGGGGGGGGGAAAGACGCCCGGCTGCGGGCCTGAAAGCCCTGCGTCCAGGCTTTCTAGCCCCGCAGCTCGGCCTCGAGCACCGCCACGCGAGTGGCCTGACCAGGGGGGAAAAGAAGGAAGGGAAACGCGCCTGCGAGGCGAGCTCCTTCATCAGCGCCGCCTGCAAAACGGGTTTGCGGGTCCCGCCCAACCCCGAAAAAAAAGGGTCGCGCCTTCTCCTCCTCCAGGACCGAGACCCGTGCTTCCGCTACGGAAGCACGGGTCTCCGCGGCGTTGAGCTTCTCGTCCTGACAGGAAAAAAAAGGCCGACATCCGAACGACGAAGAACGCGCCTTCACGGCGAGCTCAACGCGGGCCCGGTCCTGCCAGGCGAGCGGAAAAAAAAGGGAAAAACGAAGGGAAAAAACGCGCCTTGGCGGAGTTAAACTCCGCCTCCCGGCGGCGCTTGGAGGGCGGAGGCCCGCGAGCGACGCAAAAACCGAGAGGAAAAAAAGGCGAACGACGAAGAACGCGCCTGCGGCTCGCCCCCCAAGCCGCCTCCTGGCGGGCACGGAAAAAAGAGGGAAACCCTCCCAAAAAAAACCCCTCGGCCGCCACCGCCCCAGCCGACGTCGGCTGGGACGTCCCAGCCGACGCCCCAGCCGGCCGAGCCGCCGCACCCGTCCCACTCCTGACAGGCGTGAAAAAAAAAGAAAAAAAGGCGAGGGCAAACCGGGCCTTGGGCGGCTCCCACCAACCCCAGCTCTCGTCCTGACAGGAGACGGCGACGCACCAAAAAAACGGCACGAAAAAAACTCACCGAACGTCCTCCACCACTCCGCCAGCTCCACTCATGGCCGGATGCCGGGCGCGCCGGGCGCTGTTGATGCTGCTGTGGATGCTGCTGTTGATGCTGCTGCTGATGCTGATGCCCAAGACCTTGCCCCGCTACCCGAGACCTTGCCGCTACCCGAAACCTTGCCCCGCTACCCGAAGCCTTGCCGCTACCCGAAGCCTTGTCCCGCTACCCGAGACCTCCTTAGCTCTCTACCCGAAACCTTGCCCCGCTACCCGAGACCTTGCCGCTACCCGAAACCTTGCCGCCACCCGAAGCCTTGCCCCGCTACCCGAAGCCTTGCTACCCGAGATCTTGCCCCGCTACCCGAAGCCTTGCCCCGCTACCCGAAGCCTTGCCGCTACCCGAGACCTTGCCCCGCTAACCCGAAGCCTTGCCCCGCTACCCGAAACCTTGCCCCGCTACCCGAAGCCTTGCCCGAAGCCTTGCCCCGCTACCCGAAGCCTTGCCGCTACCCGAGCCAGTGAACACTGCTGTTGCTGGTGCTGTTGCTGGTGCTGTTGCTGGTGCTGTTCATCCGCGGCCGGCGGCGCAGCGGGCGGAACGCGGGCGCGGTGTATGAGCGGAAAGACTGGCTGGCCGGGGAGAGCCCCAAAGTGACCCTCAGCAGTCCCTCCCAGTACAGCGGGCTGAGGCTGAGGTGCGGCGTGCGAATCCGTGAGCTGTACGAGGAGCACGAGCTGCTGCGGCGCTGGTGCGAGGGGTTGGACCAGGAGTACCGGGGCCAGCGGCTGGCGGGCCTGGCGCACGAGGTCTTTCTCA